AACAACAGCAGCAAAAAAAATGAACAACAGGCAACTCCAATTATTATTTTTGTAAACCAAGCTGCTTGCTTCAACTGTATTTGAAATGGGGAGTATTTGCTGAGGAAAAGGTAAAGTCTCTTTTTATCTGCTGTTTCTTTCCTGAGGAATGTCATTCTATCAGCAGCTGGGTCATGCTTTTATCCACTCGCCTTTATCCACTCCCTTGTGCAGCCACTATACACTGTCTAATGATCCCCCATGGTCCCTCAATCCTCCATCCCTATTTTTTAGTCCTCACAATTTGGACATGATTCTTCCAGCTAACAGGGCACAGATGTTACACACCTTGAATCTGTGCTGGGTGAGGTGTTATCAGAAACCTATGCATTTTTTCATGCTCTCCCCAGAGGGGGTGAGGGGGAGTTTATTGGCTACTGCAGGGCCTCCAGACATTGCTGGCTTCAGAACTGGTCCTTTTTATTACACTGCAGCTCAACTACAAAGGGACATTTACTCCTTTATTGGTATTATTTTTTTGACAAACATCGAAGCATTTCATGATATTTAAAGATACATCAAATGAACTGCTAGAAGGTAGATCTTCTTCCCTCCTCTCTTTAATCCAGTTTGTTCCAATAAAATGGGCTGCTGGATTATTCTATTATGTTACATTTTGTTACTATGTGACTGTTCAGAGAAATGTTTATTTCCACCGACAGAGAGGGCCTTAGGGGTGGGCGATATGGGCAACCACCCAGGGTGCCATGGAATGGGGGATGCCACACATGCAAGATATGACTTGGCTCCCATCAGTCAATGTCCATTTTAAGGATTACAAATTTGGTGGGAAAAAAATAGAAGAACAGTTCTTAAAGTAACTCATCCTAATTTACGTTGGAATCTGAAGATCAGACCAAATTGGGCATATAGAATTTAGATTTGGATTGGCAACCAAGACCTAGAGTAGAGCACTGGCATCATAAGTTTATTCTGGTTGGTCTCAGCCAAGGAAAAAGATTCATAAATATTGCTCTAGATGCAGCCCATAGGTAGCCTTTCAGGTTAGTCCTCAAAACATTTTTTTTTTCCCGACAACCTTTTTGTTGAGTCAGAGGAAACTGGAAATAATTGCCTCAAACTAAATAAGTGAAAACTGTTATGTGAACCAAGGCTCAAGAATATCAAAATGATGGTAGGAAAATTGTGAATATCTTTGTTCCTTGATAATATGGATATTTAAAACTATGTAAGAGTATAACGCCATTGGCACTGTTAAGGTATGGCTATAAGCATCCATAAACACTTACTCTCATGAAACTACACTTTATTACTAATGAAGGAGAGGTACAGTCTGTTCCTTGGGGAATGTTATAAAGAAACACCTATCAACATGATACAGTATTTTGAAGTATAATCTCTTGCTGCAGCAGACAAACTTCTGAAATGTGCATTTTCGATGAAAGTAAAGCTTTCAAAACTGGCTGGCCAAAATGATCTAGAAATCTCTTAGGAACAGGCTCAAATGAAATTTTTACCATTACTTTGCAGCTGATCAGAGGGGAGATAACAAATAAAGACCACATAAAGTATATACAAATATTATTATAGAGAATTTTGTAAATTAAGAATTTTATAACACATATGAACTCAACATAGAAGAAGAAAAGAAAAACTGTAATTCTGAAACACAAATGCAAAAGATTAATTTTCTACACAGAATGAATATCTTCAGCAGTATGTATTATACTTACATCAAGTTCAGTTCTGATTAAAATACTGCAAATTCACAAAAATAAATTTTTGTTTGTTAATTTTTAACTTTTATTGTACTATCATACACTTTTCAGCTACCTGATGTGTTACCTCAACATGTTAGCTTATTCCTTTCTTCTCAATTGTTCCCCATAAAAGGAAAGCTTCTTTCCTGTAACGCCTCATTTCCTTGAATTTAAAATTAACCTTGAAATACGTGGTAAATTAATTAACGCTGACAGGGACATTTTTCCAGACAAAATACCATTTTCTAGGTTCTTAATTTCTTACTACTGTTGGGCTAAATCTTCTTTCAGCATAACTATTAATATCATAAAGTGTCTAGAGTCCATTTAACTCTTGGATTTGGATCACAATGATTAAAAAGGATAAAATTACTTTCAACCAACTCTATACCCTCATATTTGGTTCTGTACAGCCATAAGCAATAGAAACTTATTCCAAATATGGAAACTGAGATTTTTATGTTTCCCCATTTCCTCAGGATTTGGGAACAAGTGCAGGCTGAATAGCCACAGGAATGAGGAAAGGAATTCCCAGGGTTCTCCTTGCTAAATTGTCTCATCTATTGTTTGGATTAAGGAGGGGATGATGGATGCTTTATCTTCTCTTTTTCTAGACAAAT